AATGTTTCCACATTTTAAGTGATCTTTGTGACATTTGTTAACTTGATTGAATATGTATTTATGACATCTGAAATACATTTCTTTCTGATCAAAATATAACTTGGGACCAGTGACAATAGGAATATGGAGACCTGTAATTCATTTCTAGACATTCAGGATGTTTATTCTAGATATTTAAAAAGTTTAAGATGTTTAAAAAGTTTATTTTTTAAACATCGGCCGGGCCCCTCAGAGAATCCACCAGGAATGGGCCAGTAGCCACCCGGGCATCCACCCCCAAACCCTGAGCTCCACCAGTGCACCAGCCAGCGGAGGGAGAGCAGGACGGGGGGAATGGGCTCCTCCCTTGGCGGAGACTTGAGATGTGCTTGGGAGGGAGAAGTTCAGACCTCAACCTGAAAAAAAAGAAAACACAGTCTCAATCACGCCTTCCCACCCCAGTGCCCCCACTCACACCACACAGTCTCTGTAAAGATGAGAAGAAAAAAAACGGGGACGCACATTCGCACATAACACTCACATCCAACAATCCCAGCACCAAGGGCCCGGCGGCACCGGTGGTTGGTCCCGGGATTATCGGTTTACCCAATAAGTGAACCTAAAATCCGGATGGGGGGAGCGGAACGGTGACACCGCTACACTAACCCATCTCTCGATCTTGTTTCGGGCCTGGCCCCGCATCCGGACCCAGGCGCGCTGGAAGCTGTTTCAAGCGAGGGGGGCTGATGGCTGGGTTGGAAAACACGTGACGTCATTATGTTGAGGGCTGTGGCTGACGTTTTTAACATAATAATATAGGCCTACATTTGTCGCCAAAAACTGCCATTTAAAATGCATCGGAACAAAGCATGAACATTTTAAAACTTTATTTCTTCTCTTTTAATCATTCAAAACAAACAACAGCTCCCAATCAACAGGATCAGGAATACTTGAATAAAACATGGCCTAAATATAACCTAAACTGAGCCCTGAATGTCTTGAAAGTCCATTCGACTATGGATATGGGGAATGATTTCATATCTGAAACAAAAAACACACACACAAAAAAAAATACTAATTTCATATTTTATCACTAATTAGCTTAATACAGACATAATATTTAGTGATATGCGTCCTTATTCTAGTGTAGACTTCTTCAGCCACAGGACTACGACGAATAGGCACAGCATATAGAAATAAATAACAAAAGTAATAACGCTAAATAAATGCTCGGCGGCAGTATAGGGG